CCATGGAGGTTATATAGCACAGCCCTTTAGAGATTGGTTGTGCTGAAGGGCAGGGATCTTATTCTACCTTCTGAAGCTTCTGTCCAACTAGTTATAAGGAGAATGGAGACAGCAGTGAGAGTGGAGTCCAGGGTCCTGGTTGGGGTGGCCTGTCTTCTCCTGACATGCCCTGCCACAGCCACTGGTAAGACAAACCTGCTGGGCCTGCAGAGGGACTTGGTGTGGAGGAGTCAAGATTGAGACAGGACAGGGAGCAGGGGGCAGACTGCTCAGGAAAGAGTCCTGTTTGGAGGCTGACCAGGGGTTGTGCATTCTCTCTGGGCAGGCGCTCTGCTCTTGCTATATTTGTTGTTTGTTGTTTGTTTGTTTGAGACGGAGTTTCACTCTTGTTGCCCAGGCTGGAGTGCAATGGCGCGATCTCGGCTCACTGCAACCTCCGCCTCCTGGATTCTAGCAATTCTCCTGCCTCAGCCTCCTGAGTAACTGGGATTACAGGCACCTGCCACCATGGCCGGCTAATTTTTGTATTTTTAGCAGAGATGGGGTTTCACCATGTTGGCCAGGCTGGTCTCAAATGCCTGACCTCAAATGACCCACCTGCCTTGGCCTCCCAAAGTGCTGGGATTACAGGCATGAGCCGCTGCACCGGTCTGCTCTTGCTATCTTGAATGATGGCCAAGGGCAGTCCTGCCAGGGGCCATGATTGTCTTTATGGTTTTTTGTTTGTTTGGAGACAGAGTCGCGCTCTTTCACACAGGCTGGAGTGCAGTGGCTTGATCTCGGCTCACTGCAACCTCTGCCTCCCGGGTTCAAGCAATTCTCCTGCCTCAGCCTCCTGAGTAGCTGGGGTGACAGGCACGTGCCACCAGGCCCAGCTGATTTTTGTATTTTTAGTAGAGACTGGGTTTCACCATGTTGGCCAGGCTGGTCTGGAACTCCTGACCTCAGGTGATTCACCCACCTCATCCTCCCAATCTGCTGGGATTACAGGTGTGAGCCACTCCACCCAGCCTTTAATAGTTACAGTGTTTTTGCTGGGGTGATGAAACCATTTTTGTGACTAGAAATGTGGTAGTTGCATAACATTTGGAATACACTAATTGCCACTGAATTGTATGCTTTTTAATAGTTACTTGTATGTGAATTTCACCTCAATTTAAGAAAAAAATCAACATCAGTTCCCCCAACCCCACATCAAGGCTCAGGCACAGCCCTAGTAGGCAAGACTGGACACTGGCCCTGTGTTAGTCCATTTTGTATTGGTATAAATAAATACCTGGCGCCAGGCGAGGTGGCTCATGCCTGTAATCCCAGCACTTTGGGAGGCTGAGGTGGGTGGATCACCTGAGGTCAGGAGTTCAAGAACAGCCTGGCCAATATGGTGAAATCCTATCTCTACTAAAAATACAAAAAAAATTATCTGGGCATGGTGGTGGGCATCTATAATCCTAGCTACTCGGGAGGCTGAGGCAAGAGAATCACTTGAACCCAGGAGGCCAAGTTTGCGATGAGCCAAGATCGTGCCATTGTACTCCAGTCTGGGCAACAATAGTGAAACAAGAAGGAAGGAAGGAAGGAAGGAAGGAAGGAAGGAAGGAAGGAAGGAAGGGGGGAGGGAGGGAGGGAGGGAGGGAAGGAAGGAAGGAAGGAAGGAAAAAAGGAAAAGGAAAAGAAAGAAAGTCTTGAGACTGGGTAGTTTATAAAGAAAAGAGGTTTATTTGCCTCACAGTTCTGCAGGCTGTACAAGCATGGTGCTAGCACCTGCTCAGCTTCTGGTGAGGCCTTAGAAAGCTTATAATCATGGCAGATGATGTCATCACATGGCAAGAGAGAGAGCAAGATAAATGCCAGGTTCTTTTATTTTTTTTATTTCATTTTCTTGAGGCAGGGTCTTACCCTGTTGACCAGGCTGGAGTACAGTGATGCCATCACAGCTCAGTGTAGCCTCAACTCCCTAGGCTCAATCGATCCTACTGCCTCAGCCTCCCAAATAGCTGGGACTACAGGCACGCACCACTATGCCCAGATAATTTCTGTATCTTTTGTAGAGAGAGGGTTTCACCATGTTGCCTAGGCTGGTCTTGAACTCCTGGAGTCAAGTGATCCACCCACCCACCTCGGCCTCTCAAAGTGCTGGAGTTACAGACATGAGCCACTACACTTGGCCTGCTAGGCTCCTTTAAACAACCGGATCTTCGTCTGGGCGTGGTGGCTAATGCCTGTAATCCCAGTGAGGGGTGACAACGTGCTAGCGGCCCTCGCTCTCGGCACCTCCTCGGCCTTGGCGTCCACTCTGGCTGCGCTTGAGGAGCCCTTCAGCCCGCCCGGCACTGTGGGAGCCCCTCTCTGGGCTGGCCGAGGCCGGAGCCGCCTCCCTCTTGCGGGAGGTGTGGCGGGAGAGGCGCTGGCAGGAAGGCGGGAGAGGCGCTGGCGGGAACCGGGGCTGCGCGCGAAGCTCGCTGGTCAGCGCGAGTTCCGGCGGGCGCAGGCATGGGCTTGGCGGGCCCAGCACACGGAGCGGCCGGCTGGCGCCGTCGGCCCAGGGTAGTGAGGGGCTTAGCACCAGGGCCAGCAGCTGCGGAGGTTACGCCGGGTCCCCAGCACTGCCGGCCCGCATGCACCGCGCTCGAATTCTCGCCGGGCCTCAGCTGCCTCCCCGTGGGGCAGGGCTCAAGACCTGCAGCCCGCCATGCCCAAGCCCCACCTCGTGGTGGGCTCCCCCGCGGCCCGAGCCTCCCCAACGAGCGCCACCCCGGCTCCGCGGCACTCGGTCCCATCAACCGCCCAGGAGCTGAGGAGTACGGGTGCACAGCGTGGGAGTGGCAGGCAGCTCCGCCGGCTGCCCGGGTGCGGGATTCACTAGGTGAAGCCAGCTGGGCTCCTGAGTCTAGTGGGGACTTGGAGAACCTTTATGTCTAGCTAAGGGATTGTAAATACACCAATCGGCACTCTGTGTCTAGCTCAGGGTTTGTAAATTCGCCAGTTGGTACTCCGTATCCAGATAACCTAGTGGGGACTTGGAGAACTTTCCGTCTAGCACTCTGTCTAGCTCAAGGATTGTAAACGCACCAATCAGCACTCTGTTGAAACGGACCAATCAGCTCTCTTACACATCAGCAGGATGTGGGTGGGGGTCAGATAAGGGAATAAACGCAGGCTGCCCGAGCCAGCAGTGGCAACCTGCTTGGGTCCACCTTCCACACCGTGGAAGCTTTGTTCTTTCACTCTATGCAGTAAGTCTTGCTGCTGCTTGCTGTTTGGGTCCACGCTGCCTTCAGGAGCTGTAACACTCACCGAGAAGGTCTGTAGCTTCACTCCGGAAGCCAGCGGGACCATGAACCCACGGACAAGAACGAACAATCCAGGACGTGCGCCTTTAGAGTGTAACAACTCACCCAGAGGTTCTGCAACTTTACGCACTGACGCAGAGACCCGAACCCACAGAAGGAAGAAGCCCAGGAGAATGGAGACAGCCAGTGAGAGTCGGAGTCTGGGATCCTTATCCTGGTGGCCTGTCTGCCTCCTGCATGCCCTGCCATAGCCACTGGTAGAGAACATTTGTGCTGGGCCTGCAGAGGGACTTGGTGTGGAGACGTCAAGAGTGAGACAGGTACAGGGAGCAGTGGGCAGACCGCTCAGGAAAGAGTCCTGTTTGGAGGCAGACCGGGGGTTGTGCATTCTCTCTGGGCAGGTGCTCTGCTCTTGCTATATTTGTTTTTGTTGTTATTGTTGTTTGTTTGTTTGAGACAGAGTTTCACTCTTGTTGCCCAGGCTGGAGTGCAATGGCGCGATCTCGGCTCACTGCAACCTCCGCCTCCTGGATTCTAGCGATTCTCCTGCCTCAGCCTCCTGAGTAGCTGGGACTACAGGCGCCCGCCACCATGCCCGGCTAATTTTTTGTATTTTTAGTAGAGGTGGGGTTTCACCATGTTAGCCAAGATGGTCTCGATCTCCTGACTTCGTGATCCGCTCGCCTTGGCCTCCCAAAGTCCTGGGATTACAGGCGTGAGCCACTGGGCCCGGCCGAGATTTGTTTTAATCAAGTATAGTAAGACAAGCAGATATGCAAATGACTATCAGGAGGGAAGGAGTTTGCTCATAGTTCCCTGTGAACAGGAAGCAGGCCATGCCATACAAGGCCACAAAGGGAAGCACCAGGTGGCATTCGCCAGGAGGCAGAGGGAGCAGGGGGGAAATGTGGGCAAGCCCTTTTGCCATGGTTTCCGCGGGAAGGAGTAGGCAAGGCAGGCTAAACAGGTTTATGATTGGCAGCAGGCTCTGGGAAAAGGGGCTGTCCCCAGCTTCCTGGTACCTGGCTCTGTGGTGATTACGGCTGGTTGATGGCAGCCAGGAGCTGAGAGCTGTATAAAGGAGGTGGTTGGGATGTGGCTCTGGACTGGTTTGCATTTGCTCCCTAGAGAGTTGCCTGCCAATTCCAACTCCCCAGAGAGCTGCCTCCTATTTCCAGGAATTATCTAGCCTGGGAGAGGCAGTCCTCCAGTCTTAGTCTGTTTGTGTTGTTGTTGTAAAACAATACATGAAGCTGGGTAATTCACAAAGAAAAGAAGTTTAATTAACCCACAGTTCTGCAGGCCGTATAAGAAACATGGTGGTGCCAGCTGGGCACAATGACTCACACCTGTAATCCCAGCACTTGGGGAGGCTGAGATGAAAGGATTGCTTGAGCCCCAGAGTTTGAGACCAGCCTGGGCAACATAATGAGACCCCGTCTCTATATTTTTAAAAATAATTCAGGGCTGGGCGTGATGGCTGATGCCTGTAATCCCAGCACTTTGGGAGGCCCAGGTGGATGGATTACTTGAGGTCGGGGGTTCGAGACCAGCCTGGCCAACATGGTGAAACCCCGTCTCTACTAAAAATAGAAAAATTAGCCAGGTGTTGTGGTACGCACCTGTAATCCCAGCTACTTGGGAGGCTGAGGTCCTAGAATTGCTTGAACCTAGGAGTCAGAGGTTGCAGTGAGCCAAGATCGTGCCACTACACTCCAGCTTGATCAACAGAGCTAGACCCTGTCTCAAAAACAAAAAATAAAAACAAACAAGTGGGCAAGTGGCTGGCCCCAAGGCTCAAGGCCCCAGTGGCAGGCCCGGTCTGGCTTGGAGTGGAGTGGTAGTGACTCTCAGGCAGGCAGGGAGGAGGAAGTTGGGAGTCAACCTAAGACTAGGCTCACCAGATTGCTGGGAAGGTTACCAAGGTGCTGTGTGGTAAGTAGTGAGAACAGCCCGAGTGTTTGTCTTTCACTCCTTCCCCTCATGGGGGCTGCAAACTCACCCCATGGCCTCTCTGTCCTTCCCTCAGGGCCCGAAGTTGCTCAGCCTGAGGTACGTACCACCCTGGGTCGTGTGTGAGGCCGGCAGGTGGGCGTGAAGGGCACAGACCGCCTTGTGAATGTCATCCTGGGCATTCCGTTTGCCCAGCCACCACTGGGGCCTGACCGGTTCTCAGCCCCATGCCCAGCACAGCCCTGGGAGGGTGTGCGGGACGCCAGCAGTGCGCCCCCTATGTGAGTAGTGCTGGTGGAGGCGGGCAAACCGGCAGGTTACTAGGGGAATCCTGCTACTGGGGCTTGTGGGATTGAACAACTCGACCTCAGGCCCATCCTTGGCCACAGGTGCCTACAAGACATGGAGAGCATGAACAACAGCAGATTTATCCTCAATGGAAAACAGCAGATCTTTTCTCTTTCAGAGGACTGCCTGGTCCTCAACATCTATAGCCCAGCTGAGGCTACCGCAGGGGCCAGTAGGCCGGTAGGCACCCCAGAGGGCCCTGTTCACCCGATCCAGCTCCACTACTCCCACCTTTCCCCTCCCCGTCCCTGTTTCCAAAGCACCCTAGAGGTCCTGAGACTGCCCTGGGCTGGCAGGTGGGCAGCTGAGGTCTCAGGATCTTGGGGGTCACTGCCCCATGGCCACCTCTGCAGGTCATGGTATGGGTCCATGGAGGCTCTCTGATAACTGGCGCTGCCACCTCCTATGATGAATCAGCCCTGGCTGCCTATGGGGATGTGGTCGTGGTTATAGTCCAGTACCACCTTGGGGTCCTTGGCTTCTTCAGGTGAGATGATGGGCCTGGCCAGAGCACTGCCTGCACCAAGGAGTGGCCAGCTCACCAGAGCAGCTGGGGATCTAGGCTGGGGACCAGAGCCTGAATGGAGGGCTGCTTACCCATGCTGTCTAGGGCAGAGAAGGGTACCCCCAAACCTCCACCCTGGGAGAGTGCTCCAGCCAAAGCCAGAATTATACAGTGAACTTGGTCCCTGTAGAGGGCATTGATTCCTGGGCTGAAGCCCAGGTTCCAGCAGGATATGGGACAAAGAGCAACAGGCCCTGGAGATGCCAACCATGGATCCCAGTCAGGCCAGACCTGGGGAGCAGAGAAGGGTCTGGCATCCTGGTGGCTAATTCAAAGCAAACCTGCAGAGGCTGGCAAGGAGCCAGGCTGAACTAACCATTGCCCCACACTGCCCCCAGCACTGGAGGTGAGCATGCACCTGGCAACCAGGCCTTTCTAGATGTGGTAGCTGCTCTGCGCTGGGTGCAAGGGAACATCACTCCCTTCGGGGGTGACCTCAACTGTGTCACCGTCTTTGGTGGATCTGCTGGTGGAAGCATTGTCTCTGGCCTGGTAAGTCACCATAGGGGACTGGCAGTGGTGGCCAGGAGGGCTCCGGTGGTCTCAGAACTTCCAGCCCCTCTGCCCTCATCTGACAGCCACCTGCTCTCTCCACTGCACCCAGGTCCTGTCCCCAGTGGCTGCAGGGCTGTTCCACAGAGCCATCACACAGAGTGGGGTCATCACCAGCCAAGGGATCATCGAGTCTCACCCCTGGCCCCTAGCTCAGGTCTGCATTTCCTTCCCTCTCTTACTCTATGTGTGCCTCCTGTACCCAACTCTGTGCTGGCCCTGGGGTCTCAGAGTAGCGGGGGTTCCTGGCAGGGAACTTCCTGTTAGCAAAGAGGAGCCCACTAGGATGAAGGAGGAACAGAGGAAACAACTGCTGCATTCCAGCATGTGGGCAGTCAAGGAGGACTTCCTGAAGGATGCCACCCTGAAGCACATCATCGTTGGCCCTTTCTCCAGGGTGGGGTCTTGAGGAGCACCCTTCTCTGCCCCAGGCAGCATGGTGGAGGGGGTCTCCATTCCCAGCCACCTGCTGCCTGAGAGCTCTCCATTCAGGCTCCAGATCCCCACCCTACATCCTCATTGTAAGGCCTTGTGAAGAGAATCCAGGGGGAGCCACAGTGGGAACTACATCTGCAAAGGCTGCAGGTGTGGGAGAGAGTGACAGGTCCTGCAGCAGCAAGCTCTCAGGTTAGGGGACAGGGCAGGAAGTGAAGGCACTAGAGAAGTGGGGGCCGTGCCTGGGAATCAGGACCATCCCCTGGGGTGGGAGCTACCTAATGTTGCCACCCCAAGGAAGGCCTAGAAGCAATCTGACTCGCCATATGCCTAGGGCGAGTCCTGGTCAGGCCCTGTCTGTTCCTCTGTGAGCCCCAGACCACAACACAGCCAGGCTTCTGGCCCTGGCCCACCTCCTGGACCCTCACCATGCTCTACGACTAACATTAGTACAGGGCTGCTCCTCTGTCCCCATGTGGCTAGCTGGAGGCATACCTGGGTCTTGGCCTGAGCCTGGGGAGTGGGGCTGGAAAGTGCCAGGCCAGAATTCTGGGTAAGAGACAGCATTGGGCCGAGCATGGTGGCTCATGCCTGCAATCCCGACACTTTGGGAGGCCAAGGTGGAAGGATTGCTTGAGCCCAGGAGTTTGAGACCAGCCTAGGCAACATAGTGAGACCTCTGTCTCTATGAAAAAATTTGCCAGGCATAGTGACTCATGCCTGTGATCCCAGCTACTTGGGAGGGTGAAGTGGGAGGATCCTTGAACCCAAGAGGTCAGGGCTGCAGTGAGCTGTGATCGTTGCACTCCAGCCTGGGTGACAGAGTGAGACTCTGTCCTTTTACAGGACTAAGGGGCTTCAGCAGGTCACTCCTGGCCTCCAAAGGCACCCTGGAAGGAGAAGAGCTGGGTTTTGCAGGATAACTAGGAGTCATCTGTCCCTTCCAAGACCCTTTGCAGCTTAGTGCTGTGTCAGGAGTCAGTCCTTACACAAAATTCCCCCCACTCCTATCGTTTGTGTTTTCTTCTCTCTCTTTTTCTGTCTCTGTCTCTCTCTCTCTTTCTCTCTCCCTACCCCCCTCCCTCCGTCTCTCTCTCTCCCTTTCCCTCTTTTTTGAGACAAGGTCTTGCTCTGTCATCCAGGCTGGAGTCTTTGTGTTTTCTTCTTTCTCTCCCTTTCTTCTCTTTTCTATTCTCTTCTTTCTTTCCCCTCCCTCCCTCCCTCCCTTCCTTCCTTTTCTTTTTCTTTCTCTCTCTCTCCCCTTCCTTCCTGTCTAAAACAAAAAAACAAAAAACAAAACTGAAGCTTATTCTGATTAGGTAAAATGTATGTGGTAAGCCCTAAAACAAACACTTAAAACAATGATGACAAAAACAAAATTAAAAATGCACAGTGAAATAAATCATTAAAGAGATTAGGCCAGGCACGGTGGCTCATGCCCATAATCCCAGCACTTTGGGAGGCTGAGGCAGGCAGATCACTTTAGGGCAGGAGTTTAAGACCAGCCTGACCAACGTGATGAAACCCCATCTCTACTAAAAATACAAAAATTAGCTGGACGTGGTGGCATATGTCTGTAATCCCAGCTACTCAGGAGGCTGAGGCAGGAGAATCGCTTGAACTCAGGAGGCAGAGGTTGCAGTGAGCTGAGATCATGCCACAGCTCTCCAGCCTGGTGACAGAGCGAGACTCCGTCTAAAAAAGAAAAAAAAAAAAAGAAGAAGAAAGAAAAGAAACCAACAACAGCATTTTCAGTGACTTAAAACACCATCGGGACCAGTTAGCTCATGATATGGGTCTGAAAACTGAGGCCCAGAATGGGCCCTAGGCCTGCCTGTGGTCACACAGTGAGTTATTCTCAGTGAGTTGTGCAAAGCCCCACCCAGATGCAGGCACAGGCCCACTGCCCCCTCCCAGCGGACAGGCCTCTGACTCTTACCCAGGTGGGTGGGTGGTAGCATCTCTGATTCCTTTCCAGGGCTCCGGGGGTTCTGGAGACGCAAACCTGCGGACACCTAGAAGAGGTCTGGAGAAGGGGACTCCTAAAAAGACTTGGATGGGTGTCTTCCCCACGTGCATCTGTTTTCCTTGCAGGGTTCTATATTTGGTGACCACTTGAGGCTTCAGGTATCAGTAGGAAGGTATCAGTAGAGATAGGGTTTCATTATGTTGGCCAGGATGGTCTTGATCTCTTGACCTCGTGATCCACCTGCCTCAGCCTTCCAAAGTGCTGAGATTACAGGCATAAGCCACCACGCCCAGCCTTGTTGTTGGTTTCTTAGAGGAGAGCTCCAGGCAAGGGGGGGGCTGTCACTGACCGTGCCCCAGCACCTGCTGGGGAGCTGCGTTTTCCCGAATGTGTCTGAGGGGCAGTGTTCACTCTCACATCGCCCTCCTGACCCATTCCGGAGCTCTTCCCTCTCTCTGGGGGTTGAGGCCTGAGTCACAAAAGCATAATTGGAACAATGACTGCCCTTTGAAGCACAGGGCTTGGCAGTTTACCCAGAACAAGTGTATTTACTATTTATTCAGACTATTGAGTAATCCACTGTCCAGAACATTCTGTGGCAATCATTAACAATGCTCAGCATCAGTTGGTTAAAGCACAGGGTTTAGAAAAATGTCTGAGAACCTGGATATCAGCTGATATAAAAAGATACAAATACCACCCTAGGTGTCTAGCTGTTAAAAACAGGTTGTTGGCTGGGCATAGTGGCTCACACTTTTAATCCCAGAACTTTGGTAGACCAAGGCAAGAGGACTGCTTGAACCCAGGAGTTCAAGACCAGCCTGGGCAGCATGGCAAGACCCCATATCTACAAAAAAATTTTTAAAAATAGCTGGGGGTGGTGGTGAGCACCTGTGGTCCCAGTTACTCTAAAGGCTGAGGTGGGAGGATCACTTGATCAAAGCCCAAGAGGTCAAGGTTGTAGTAAGCCATGAGTCGCCACTGACAGGACTCCAGCCTGGGCCACAGAGTGAGACCCTGTCTCCAAAAAAAAAAAGAAAAGGAAAAAAAAAAGAAAGAAACAGGTTGTCCACTGTTAGAACACGACCAGCAGTTACTAAAATACCAGGGTGTTCATTGTCAGAACATTGGCTGTCACTGGAAAGATCCCAGTTATCCTGAACATTCTGTGACTTATTTAGAATCCCAAAGATCAGGTGACAGAACATGGGATGGCCACTGTTAGGACCTTGGAGATCAGGGATTTAGAGGTTAGGACATTCACTGTATAGAAGTCTGAGTGTCAGTTGTTAGAAACTGACTATGAGCTGTCAGAACAATGCCTGTTTGGAAACAGAGTGTCAAGTGTGAGAATTTGTGGATTGCTCAGAATAGCCCATGGGTGGTGGTTGCAGTGGGCAGCGGGAGAGAAGGATGCTGCAAAGATAGTAGTTTCTGCCTGAGTAGTTACCGGGGAGGTGGAAGGAAGGTATCAGACTCCAAATTTATTTAGAAAGTAAAATTGACAGAATTTGCTGGAGAATTGGATATAAGCCACAAGGGAAGAAGAGGAATCACTGATAATGACTAGTTTTTGGCCACAGCAGACAAGGAAATAGGGGTACCATTTATCAAAATGAGGAAGACTGGAGCAAGAGCAAGTTTGGGCAAAATAGGAATTAATTTTGAGCCAGGAGCAGTGGCTCAGGCCTGTAATCCCAGCACTTTGGGAGGCCGAGGCAGGAAAATCACTTGAATTCAGGAGTTCCAGACCAGCTTGAGCAACCTAGTGAAACCCTGTCTCTACAAGAGATTTAAAAAATTAGCTGGGCACAGTGCCGTGGTCCTAGCTACTTGGGAGGCTGAGGTAGGAGGATCGCTTGGGCTTGGGAGGTTGAGGCTGCAGTGAGCTGTGATCATGCCACTCACTCTTAGCCTGAGAGACAGAGTGAGACCCTATCTAAAACACACACCCACCCACACACACACAGTTCCTTTTGGGGCCTGTTAAACTTGACGTGCTGACAGATGTTCCATGTGGAGGGCAGGTAGGTGGCTGGAGAGAGGAGACAGAAGGCAAACTGATCATCAGCACATCAGTGGTATGAAGCCCCTGGGCCTGGATGATGGGAGAAAGGATGGTCAGAAAAAAAAACTGAGGGTCGAGGACTGGGCACTCTCATGCTTAGGCCTGGAGAGGAGGAGGAACCACTAACAAGGTGGCAGGAAAATCAGGAGCACGGGGTTTTACAGAAGCCCAGAGAAGGAAAGCTGTTCGAGAAAGAGCATCTGACCGGGCGTGGTGGCTCTCACCTGTAATCCCAACACCTTGGGAGGCTGAGGTGGGAGGATCCCTTGAGGTTAGGAGTTCTAGACCAACCTGAGCAACATAGTGAGACCCTGTCTCTACAAAAAATTTAAAAATTATCCAGTGTGATGGTGTGTGCTTGTAGTCCTAGCTACTTGGGAGGCTAAGGATCACTTGAGCCCAGGAGGTCAAGGCTGCAGTGAACTATGATCATGTCACTGCATTCACCTGGGTGACCCTGTCTCTAAAAAAAGAGAGGAGGCTGGGCACACTGGCTCACGCCTGTAATCCCAGCACTTTGGGAGGACGAGGCAGGTGGATCACGAGGTCAGGAGTTTGAGACCAGCCTGACCAACATGGCAAAACTCCATCTCTTCTAAAAATACAAAAATTAGCTAGGTGTTGTGGCATGTGCCTATAATCCCAGCTACTCAGGAGGCCGAGGCAGTGAGCTGATATCTCCCACCTGAACCCAGGAGGCGGAGGTTGCAGTGAGCCAAGATCGTGCCACTGCACTCCAGCCTGGCCGACAAAGCGAGACTCCGTCTCAAACAAAAAAAAGAGAGAAAGAGACAGAACAAAAGGGAATATAATGTGGTCAACCACGTTGAGGGTTGTCAGGGCAAGTAAGACAATGACAGAGATTTAGCTAGATGGATGTCACTGGTGACCATGGCAGGATGGCTCTGGGGGTGGGATGGACACAGAAGCCTTGGCTATTCATAGTTCCAGTTCCTGGCTATCGGAGCCCTGGCTTTCCTAGTGAGAAGGTAGATGTGGTTTACTAGACAGCATTCTAATACCACATTAGCTGCTGTCAAGAAGTCAATCAAAGAAGACAAAAAACAATCTATAGAGATACAGATGCTGATACTTTGGAGAAACTGGGTCTCTCCTGGGAGTGGAGGGGAAGGCAGCCTGTTAAAAAGTTTGGCCTGAGGGAAAGAGAGATGGGATAGTTGCTGGGAATGTGGGTGGGGGTGGACAGGTTTGGCTTGAGGAGTGTTGGAATGCTGTAGGGAAGGACTGGTGAAAGGGAGCAGTGACGCTCTGGGAACAGGCTAGGCTAGGACAACAGCAGAAGGGAGCAGAGGAACAAGGCGAGGCAAACAGGATGTCCTGCACCCCAAATGGTCCAGGCCCAGCTGTTATGAGAACAGCCACCTAGGGGTTGGGCCAGCAGGGAGAAAAGGCGAGGTGGCCAGAGAGCCCATGCTCCAAAAATACCCCAAATATCCACACAGTATAAGGCACTGGGCTGGGTGCCAGGACTCAGATGAGTCTACCTCCATTCCTGCCCTTGGGAAGAGCATGGTCACTTGGGGAGGAAAACAGCCAACTGAAATAACTCCAGCCAGGACGCAGTCAACAGCAGACAGGAGGCCGGGCACGGTGGCTCATGCCTGTAATCCCAACACTTTGGGAGGCCGAGGTGGGCAGATCACTTAAGGCCAGAAGTTCAAGACCAGCCTGGTCAACATGGTGAAACCCCGACTCTACTAAAAATACAAAAATTAGCTGGGCATGATGGTGTGTGCCTGTAGTCCCAGCTACTTGGGAGATTGAGGCAGGATAATTGCTTGAATCTGGAGGCAGAAGTTGCAGTGAGCCAAGATCGTGCCACTGCACTCCAGCCTGGGCAACAGAGCAAGACTCCGTCTCAAAAAAAAAAAAAAAAAAGTGGACAGGACGTCAGGAGTCACAGAAGAAGAAGTGACCAGCAGAGGAGACACCACTTGAGCTGGGCCTTAAACAGGGCTCAGCAAGGAGGGGCAGGATGGAAGCACCCCTGAGCATCCCTTCTTCTCTCTATAGAAGGTTGCCCACCTGGCTGGATACAACCAGAATAGCACACAGATCCTGGTAAACTGCCTGAGGGCACTTTCAGGGGCCAAGGTGATGTGTGTGTCCAACAAGATGGTAGGTAGAACATTCCAGCTGCCTGACCTGGCTACCTGAAGGCCATCCTCCTATCCTGGTACCCAGCCACCCCCAACTACTTCCCCAGGGACCCTGTCTCAAGAGCACACTGGGGAGACTTCCTTTAACTCTGATCCCTTCCTCTCCACCACAGAGATTCCTCCAACTGAACTTCCAGGGAGACCCTGAAGAGGTAATCAGGCCACATTCTGCAATTTGAGTATTTACTGAGCACTACTTTGTGCCAGGCACTTGGGATACTTAGGGAATTGTTCAGGCCAAGATCCTTTCCCGAGTGGAGCTGATGTTCCAGTGGGGAAGGACGATAAACTCTGTAAATAAATATATTATGCACCTCCTCAGAAGATAAGTGAATAGCAAGGAATGGAGAGGGTAAAGGGGTTAGACATGTTGGGAGGTGTGGACTTTTAAATAGAATGGATAGGACAGGACTCAGTGAAGTGAAATTTAGCAAAGATTTTCAAGAGGTGAAGGAGGGAGCTATACAGATACCCGCGGTAAGCATCCCAAGTCCACGTAGCTTGGTCCTGCCTATCCTGCTCCCCTCCCACACCCATCCTCCTGGGGCTCACCATGCCAGCTCCAGTCTTTTTGCAATCAAAGAGCCTAGGCTAGAAGGGCAGCCTCTGAAGGGGCACCCTCATCCTCGCAGGGACCCTGGGAGGATACTTGAGGAGACTGGCTGGAAATGCCCTTTGCCTTGTAGATTATCTGGTCCATGAGCCCTGTGGAGCATGGTGTGGTGATCCCAGATGACTCTCTGGTGCTCCTGACCCAGGGGCAGGTTTCATCTGTGCCCTACCTTCTAGGTGTCAACAACCTGGAGTTCAACTGGCTCTTGCCTTATGTAAGTGAGTAGGAGTTCAGTTGGCTCTTGCCTTACGTGAGTTACCACAGTGGAGGCAGGGAAGGATGCCTCTTGGACAGTGCTGGGCACCAGGTCAGATGCCAGTAGCCCTTCTGGGGATGCACATATATTTGGGAGCCTCCTGTAGTCCCTGTACAGTAAAAACTGGCCATGAATGTTGGAGGGGAAGAAGGGCAAAGTGTGGCCTGTTGGAGATTTGAGGGCCATAAATTCTCAGATCATAGTTTAGATGGCTTATGATGTTCATTCCCAAGCCTCTAGGCAACTGCAAATCCTGAAGCCCTCCGTTGCTCCTGGGTCAGGGTAGATGCCCCAGCTCAGGAGGGACCCCCGCTCAGTACCACTTCAGCTCTAGCCCAGGTGGTAGTGATGAGTAGGATGGAAGCAGGCGGGCAAGAGAGAGTCATGGGCCCTTCCTGGGCTGTGTGCTGTGTCTGAGAACTCATCATTAGATGGGCAAGACCCTTGGGGCCTTTGTGGCTCTGGCCAGAATCCCTCCTAATGCTCAGGCCTGACCCACACTGGGGTCCTTGGCTTGTGAACAGATCATGAAGTTCCCGCTAAACCGGCAGGCGATGAGAAAGGAAACCATCACTAAGATGCTCTGGAGTACCCGCAGCCTGTTGGTGAGGGACCCAGCTGGCAGGGGTGCTCAGTTTGGACAGGGCTGACCCCCCGTTTTTCAACCTAGTAGCTACTCTCTGCAAAGGGGCTCCCATCCAGGGTAAGGATCTTTCTTGGAGGGCCTGGGGTTTGGTGTGGGATCAGATGACTGCTTATAGGTAAGGTGCTCAGGGTCATAGGGGAAGTTATGCAGCAAAATTCGGGGTTACAATCTGCAGAGATGGAAACTTTCCCAGGAATCTCCCTTTTTCCCCTCCCAGGCCAAAAACTCCTGGGGGGCTGAGCCTGGATCCAAGTCACTGGTGGGCCCACCTCTGGTCCAGCTGGCACCCAGGCCTCAGATAAGTGTGGCCTCCCCACCCAGAATATCACCAAGGAGCAGGTACCACTTGTGGTGGAGGAGTACCTGGACAATGTCAATGAGCATAACTGGAAGATGCTACGAAACTGTATGATGGACATAGTTCAAGATGCCACTTTCGTGTACGCCATGCTGCAGACTGTTCACTACCACTGAGGTATGTGGGGTCCCCATGAGTGGCCACACTGGCCCTGTCCACTCTCCAGGTGTGCTGTTTACCAACTGGGCTTATTGACTGCTCCCCAACCCTCTCTCTACTTCTGGGCTAGTGTAGGATTCTAAAATACCACAGAGGAGGCAGCATGCTATCAACTATAAGAGAGGAAGGGGCCAGGAGCGGTGGCTCATGCCCATAATCCCAACACTTTGGGAAGCTGAGGCGGGGGCGGATCATTTGAGGCCAGGAGTTCTAGACTAGCCTCACCAACATGGTGAAAACCAATCTCTACTAAAAATACAAAAAAATTAGCCAGGTATAGTGGTGCATGCCTGTAGTCCCAACTACTCGGTAGGCTGAGGCAGGAGAATTGCTTGAACCCAGTAGGGGGAGGCTGCAGTGAGCCAGCATCACACCACTGCACTCCAGCCTGGGCAACAGAGCGCGACTCCGTCTCAAAAAAAAAAAAGGGTATAAGAGAGGAACTGTTCTTCCTTAGGAACAAGGGCAACCTCAGACAGTACAGAGGAGAAGCTCGGGGTGGTCAGGGAAGGCTTCCTGGCTGAAAGGACAGGCTTAGGGGCACCGTGAAAGTCCAGGCTGACTGGGGCTAGGGGTACATGTGAGTGACAGGTTAAAGTAGGGGCTGGAAACTGCAGACACCGAAGACCCTTCAATAAGAGGCCAAGAAAGGAAGGTTCAGAACAGGGAAAAGGAAGGCTTCCATGATCCTGGCCACAATCCTGTGGATTAGGTTTTAGCATTCTCAGTCTGAAGATAAGGAATTATTGATACAATTCAGAGAGGTAGAGCTACTTGCTTTAGATCATACAGCAAATGAATAGCACAGACAGGATTCAAGTCTGCTCCCTTGATTCTGAAGCCAAAGTTCTTTTTCCTGCTTGGTGCAGGTTAGTGGGACACACGGGGTGGATGAGAAGCCTAGGCTGAGGCTTTTCCTGCAGCCCTCCTCAGTTTCCCTCTTCACAGATGCCGGACTCCCTGTCTACCTGTATGAATTTGAGCACCACGCTCGCGGAATAATTGTCAAACCCCGCACTGATTGGGCAGACCATGGGGATGAGATGTACTTCCTCTTCAGGGGCCCCTTCGCCACAGGTATAAAGGCCCCACCGAACACCCCGACTGGGTGTCCAGTTTTCCACCTCTGTATGCAGACCCACCCCTCCATCGCCTGGCCACAGAGAGCTTACCAGTTCCTAATCTGTGATGCTCTCCCAAATGAAAGTCTTCTGCTCTGGAGGCAGCAAAAGTAGCAAGAGTAGGGTGGGATGTCAGCATCCCCTGCTCTGTCTGAAATCCCACATCCCATTCTGCCCCCAAGACTTTCCACAGGTAAGGAGAAGGCACTTAGCCTCCGGATGATGAAATACTGGGCCAACTTTGCCTGCACAGGGTGAGTCTACCCCCCAACACATTTGGCCATTCTGCCTACCCAGTGCTGGACCCAGTGGCCAGCAGCTTCGGATATTTGCCCCAGCATGTCCTACAGGAACTGCCCAGTTGACCCAACCAGAGTGCCCCTTGTTCCTCAGCTTTCCCCAGTCACCAGATCCTAAATGTCTCCAGAATGTGTCCTTCCTGATCCATGACCCACACTCTTCATTCACTCAAGCATTCCACAGTCATTCACCACTGCTCTCTTTTGGGCCCAGCCCCAGTACTGGGAGCTGGAATTCAAGGATATTGCAGACATGAGCCCCATCCTCCAGCAGCTCACCATGTAAAATCAGGAAATTATAATCTGGCACGCTGAGAGCTGTACTAGGGGAGCACAAGGCATGTTGAGAGCATAGAGGAGGTGTCTGACCCAGTATAGGGGGCAGGCGACATGTAAAGAGAGCTTTGGATAGCCTTGTGACTATTTTCTTAAAAGTTTCGCTCTGTCACCCAGACTGGAGTGCAGTGGCGCAATCCCAGCTCACTGCAACCTCCGCCTCCCAGGTTCAAGCAATTCTCCTGCCTCGGCCTCCCGAGGAGCTGGGATTACAGGCCACCACGCCCGGCTAATTTTTGTCTTTTTGTAGAGATGGGGTTTTACATGTTGGCCAGGCTGGTCTTGAACTCCTGACCTCAAGCAATCCACCCACCTCAGCCTCCCAAAGTGCTGGGATTACAGGCATGAGCCACTGTGCCTGGCTTCTCTCCTTTCAATCCATCCGGATGATACTCAGTGTCTTTCTTTTTCTTTTTTTTAATTTTTTTGAGACAGTCTCACTCTGCTGCCCAGGCTAGAGTGCAGTGGTGCAATCACAGCTCACTGCAGCCTTGACCTCCCAGGTGATCCTCCCACTTCAGCCTCCCAAGTAGCTGGGACTACAGGCACACACCACCATGCCCGGCTAATTTTTTTCTTTTTTTTTTTTTTGAGACGGAGTCTCGCTGTGTCACCCAGGCTGGAGGCAGTGGTGCAATCTCGGCTCACTGCAAGCTCTGCCTCCCGGATTTATGCCATTCTCCTGCCTCAGCCTCCCGAGTAGCTGGGACTACAGTCGCCTGCCACCATGCCTAGCTAATTTTTTTGTATTTCTAGTAGAGACGGGGTTTCACCATGTTAGCCAGGATGGTCTCGATCTCCTGACCTGGTGATACACCCGCCTCGGCCTCCCAAAGTGCTAGGATTACAGGCGTGAGCCACCATGCCTGGCCTAATTTTTGTATTTTTTGGAGAGATGAGGTCTTGCTATTTTGCCCAGACTGGTCTCCAACTCCCAGGCTCAAGCCATTTTCTCACCTATGTCTCCCAAAGTGTTGGTCTTACAGACGTTAGCCACCATACCCAGCCCAAGGGTTCTTTCCGAAATAACATCTGACCAAGTCACTCACCTGCTTAAAACCCTTCATGGCTTCTCTCTGCCTCAAGATAAAGTCCGAGCCCCTCAGCCTTGCATGAAAGGCCTTTCAAAATCTTTCGTACGTCATCTCCTTTCCACTTCGATCCCTTTCACACACACTCTGTTTTTTTTTTTTGTTGTTGTTGTTGTTGTTTTGTTTTTGAGACAGAGTCTTGCTCTGTCACCCAGGCTGGAGTGCAGTGGTGTGATCTCTGCTCACTGAAATCTCCGCCTCCTGGATTCATGCCATTCTCCTGCCTCAGCCTCCCAAGGAGCTGGGACTACAGGCGCCCGCCACCTCGCCTGGCTAATTTTTTGTGTAGTTTAGTAGAGACAGGGTTTCATCATTTTAGCCAGGATGGTCTCGATCTCCTGACCTCGTGATCTGCCTGCCTTGGCCTCCCAAGGTGCTGGGGTTACAGGCGTGAGCCACTGCGCCTGGCCACACACACACACTGTTTTTACCTAACTCTTGACTTGTGCTTCCTCCAAAAGCCTTGGTCTTTTATATCTCTCAACCTGGCACATACGGTTTGCTCTGCTTGGAAGGCCCACCCCAATACACACTTTCCTACTCTTTCTTAAAGATCTAAGTATCATCTCTGTAAAGCCCTCTGGAACCCCAATTCCCTAGGGCAAATTAAATGAGGGCAGGGTGAGAGAAAGAAGCATGATGAAGAGGAACACACCTAATCCTCTCTTTTTTTCTTCTGGGCAGAAATCCCAATGATGGAAATCTGCCCTGCTGGACACGCTACAACAAGGATGAAAAGTACCTGCAGCTGGATTTTACCATAAGCGTGGGCATGAAGCTCAAGGAGAAGAAGATGGCTTTTTGCGTGAGTCTGTACCAGTCTCAGAGACCTGAGAAGCAGAGGCAATTCTAAGGGTGGCTATGCAGGAAGGAGCCAAAGAGGGGTTTGCCCCACCACCCAGGCCCTGGGGAGACTGGCCATGGACATACCTGGGGACGAGAGTTCTACCCACCCCAATTTAGAACTGCAGGAGCTCCCTGCTGCCTCCAGGCCAGAGCTAGAGCTTTTGCCTGTTGTGTGGGACCTGCACTGCCCTCTCCAGCCTGACATCCCATGATGCCCCCTACCTCAATGTTGACATCCAGTTAGGCCAGGCCCTGTCAACACCATACTGTGCCCAGCTCTCCAGCCTCAGGACAACCTCTCTTTTTCCCTTCTTCAAATCCTCCCACCCTTCAATGTCTCCTTGTGGCTCCTTCTTATGGGAGGTCGACCCAGACTGCCACTGCCCCTGTCACTGCACCCAGCTTGGCATTTACCATCCATCCTGCTCAACCTTGTGCCCATCTGTTCACATTGGCCTGGAGGCCTAGGGCAGGTTGTGACATGGAGCAAACTTTTGGTATTTGGGATCTTCTCTCCCACCCGCACTTATCTCCCCCAGGGCCACTCCAAAGTCTATCCACAGGGATGTTCTCAATAAAGAAGTGTTGATTTGACCTGAATTTCTCCACCTATAAAATGGGTGCATGAAGTGAATGGTGTCTCAATTTGAGCCCTGGGAGAAAGGGAGTGTTGCTGCCTGTTCCTTAGTGGGCTGTGCCTGGATGCTACACTCAGTCAAGGGGTGCTACTGCAAAGTTGCCTGGGGTACAAAACACTTGCCTTTTGCCTTCATGGTCTCAAGTGCACCCCTCAGAACAGTAGGACAGCCACACCCCACGCTCACTTGTCCATCAGTTTAGGTCTTACTGCTGCATCCAGATTCCTCTGGCTTCTCTTGCAGCCCGTGCATATCCCAGCCTGTCCCACAGTTTTGTTTCATTGTTTTGTGGGCTTTTTTTTAAAGTTTTTTATTTTTTGAGACAGAGTTTCACTCTTGTCACCCAGGCTGGAGTGCAGTGGCGCGATCTTGGCTCACTGTAACCTCCACCTCCTGAGTTCAAGCGATTCTCCTGCCTCAGCCTCCCGAGTAGCTGGGATTACAGGTGCCCGCCACCATGCCTGGCTAATTTTTGTATTTTTAGTAGAGATGGGGTTTCATCACGTTGGCCAGGCTGGTCTCGAACTCCTGACCTCAGGTGATCCGCCCATCTCGGCCTCCCAAAGTGCTGGGATTACAGGCATGAGCCACCATGCCTGGCCACTGTGGGCTTTTTGATGGTAAAATACATATGACAGATTTTACCATTTTAACTATTTTTGTTTTTTGTTGTGAGATGGAATCTTGCTCTGTCACCCAGGTGAGTGCAGTGGCGCCATCTCGGCTCACTGCAAGCTCTGCCTCCTGGGTTCATGCCATTCTCCTGCCTCAGCCTCCGGAGTAACTGGGACTACAGGTGCCCGCCACCATGCCCCGCTAATTTTTTGTACTTTTAGTAGAGACAGGATTTCACTGTGTTAGCTAGATGGTTTCGATCTCTTGACCTTGTGATCTGCCTGCCTAGGCCTCCCAAAGTGCTGGGATTACAGGCATGAGCCACCATGCCCAGCCCCATTTTAACTATTTTTACATGTACAGTTCAATATCATTAAGTACATTCACATCATTGCACAACCATTGCCACTATTCTGTCTTTAGAACTTTTTCATCATCTAAACTGGAACTCTCTACCCATTCAACAATGACTCACTGTTACCCCCTCGTCGTAGCCCCTGGTAACCCCTATTCTGCTTTCTGTCTCTATGAACTTGACTCTTCCAGGTGCCTGACATAAGTACAGTAATGCAGTATTTGTCCTTTTGTGTCTGGCTTATTTCACTTCACATGATGTCTTCAAGGTTCATCCATGCTGTAGCATCTATCAGAATTTCCTTCCGTTTTAAGGCTGGATAATATTCCATTGCAGGTATATACCACATTTTGTTTATCCATTCATCCAGTGATGGGCATTTGGGTTCTTTCCACCTTTAGGCTATTGTGAATAATGCTGCCATGAACACTGGCATAGTGTTCCACAGTATTTTTGTCCCAAAGTAGTGTTGATTAGGTCCTTTATTCCCAGAGGTTCCTGAGTCTCTGGGGCAAATGGAAGCTGCATAGATCTGTGGGACGAGGCCATCTAATTCCCCATACCCCAGGATCTAACCCCCAAAGCAAAGGGATGGTGGAGGAGGGGGGAAGCCCCTTCCAAGCAAACAATCCTCACAACGACCATGGATCTTATTATCCCCATTTTACAGATGAAGAAACTGAAGCATTGAGCATTGAAAAGCCTTGCCCAAGGGCCTGAGCTGGTGGAGACAGAGCAGGAATTGGGTCCAGGCCAGCCTGAGGCACCCTGCCACCTCCATCCAGACCTGGAGCAATCCCTGAGGAGGGTGGCTACCACAGGAGATGGGGCAGCTCTAGTCTCAGGAAGCACAGCCGGAGGATGTCGCAGGCAAACAAACAGCCACTCATCAGTAAGGAGCAAGAGTGAGGGCTGCTAGTTCAGCTCCCGGAAGGTGGTCCTGGGGCAGCCAGTGCAGAACTCAGCAGGGGCTCAGCTCCAACTGAGCCAGATTTCACTCCAGTGTCCACAAGGGACGTTGTGACCTGGAGGTCCTTGGCTACTCACCCTGGGGCCTGCTGGCACAGCCCAGGAGCTAGCCCAGGCCTGCCTCTGATGGTTCCTCCCGATTTCTCTCCTGACAAAGATTCTCTCGTTGACCAAACTCTACTCAGACTTTCCTGAACTTTTTCAGCTAGGCCTGACTTTTTAGCAAGATTCCTGCTAAGTCAGTTTAACCAGAGCCCCCCATCCTTGATATCTGATCACCTTCCATAATCTAATTTTCCTTAGCCTGGGCCAGGTACGGTGGCTCACGCCTGTAATCCCAGCACTTTGGGAGGCCGAGGTAAGCAGACCACTTGAGCTCAGGAGTTCGAGACCAGCCTGGCCAACATGGTGAAACCCCATTCTACTAAAAATACAAAAATTAGCTGGGTGTGGTGGTGGGTGCCTGTAATCACAGCTACTTGAGAGGCTGAGGCAGGAGAATCACTTGAACTCGGGAGGCGGAGGTTGCAATGAGCTGAAATCGTGCCATTGCACTCCAGCCTGGGTGACAGAGCAAGGCTCTGCCTCAAAAAAAATAAAAAAACAAAAGTTCTTTAGCCTCTATTATCCCCAAGGTGATGTCTGGTCACCCTGGCCTGGCTGCAGCAAGAATCCTATTGGATGGGCTTAGCCAGAATTCCCCCTTTATCTCTGATGTTTCCTCTCAGTAATTTTCCATCCACTGACCCCACCTTGCTCCTTGGCTATAAATTCTTACTTGTCCATGCTGTATTCAGAGTTGAGCCCAATCTCTCTCCCCAGCTGCCTGACTGCAAAACCCCACTGTGGCAGTCCTTATGTCAATTTTTTTTTTTTGGAAACAGGGTCACCTCTGTTGCCCAGGCTGAAGTGCAGTGGTGCAATCACAGCTCACTGCAGCCTCAAACTCCTGGGCTCAAGCAATCCTCTCACATCAGCCTCCCAAATAGCTGGGACCACAGGCAGGCACTACCAGCCTCGGCTAATTTTTAAAAAATGTTTGGGTCTGACATGGTGGCGCATGCCTGTTATCCCAGCACTTTGGGAGGCTGAGGCAGGAGGACTGCTTGAGCCCAGGAGTTTGAGACCAACCTGGGCAACACTGCAAGACCCCATCCCTACAAAAAATATTAATTAAAAAAATTAGCCAGTTATGGTGGCACATGCCTGTAGTCCCATCTACTCAAGAGGCTGAGGTGGGAGAATCACTTGAGCCCAGAAGGCCGAGGCTTCAGTGAGCTATGATCACACCACTGCACTCCAGCCTGGGTGACAGAGTGAGAACCTCTCTACCGCCTTATCCTCCAAAAGTGCTGGAATTACAGGTATGAGCTACGACTCGGCCCCTATGCCTATTTCGATGCTCCTGAATAAAGTCTGCTTTACTGAGCTTTAACAAGGATCATGAATGATTTTTCTTGAACGCCCCTCCTCATGCTCTCTCACACGGGTCCGTGGGGAGGGCAGCTGCTTCTAAGGGCCACCTACCCAGGGCCCTCCTCCCCAAATTGGAGGAAGTGCAGCTGAGCAGGAGCCAGGGCTTTGTCGGGTCTGGGCTGGCTGTGGCAGATATGACGATCATAAAGGGCTCTGGGGAAACCCTAGAACCCTCCCTAGGAGGGAGGACAAGCCTGGGAGAACCCCAGTGGGCAGTCTGAATGCTGGGCTGGCCCCTGCCTCCCACAGCCCTGGCTCCACACCCTTCCCATACACCCAGGAAGGTGTCCCTCTTCCAGTGAGCTCCTCCCCGGGTTGCACTGCTGGATGACGGAGGCGGGAGGGCTACTTACTACTGCCCCATTGTCCCACCTTGTCTTCCTGTCCCCACTCAGGTCCTCCCACGGCCACCCGGAGTCTCTCCTGAAGCTGTTGCCAGGCCCCATCCCGCGTGGATCGGTGCGCACAACAGACTGGATCTTGGTGAAAGCCCGAGAACACTTCTGAGTCTTGCCCCCAGCCGCCCTCCCCATCCCCCGGGTTTCACACCAGCCGGCGCTACCGCGGGGACGAAGGAGTGCGGGCGCTAAGCTCTCGCGGGCACAGCGCACACACGCGCCCCCTGCTGGCCGGGCCGGGCCGGGCCGCCCACCTCCGGCTGAGCCTGGCTCCCGGCTCCGGAAGCAGCTCCCCAGCTTCTCCCCCGCCACGCCCCCACCTTCCACCCTGGAAACAGCAATTACCGGCCCAGGCGGCTGGGAAAGGGCCAATTAGCGCAAGAGACGCCGCCCCTCTGCGGGGCCCCTGCTGACCGCAGCCCACGCAACGCTGCCTCCGCCGCGGGCCCCCAGGCTCCCGTCGCCCGCCCGCCTGCCGCAGCCCTCCCGGCCTGGCCGACAGCGCTGGCTGCCTGGGAGTCCCGGGGGACACGCCGTCCGGCCTCCCGCCAACTGCAGTCACGGATCCAACCGCCTGGCGCTGGCCCAGAGCCTGGGCGGACGTGCGGGCGCCGGGAGCTGAATCTCGCCGCCGGTCTCCAGGCGGGGGCGGCTCGGCCCAAGCCTTCTTGCCTTCTCATGGCCCTCCTTGCTGCTTCTGGACCTCCAAGGCCCCGTTCTGGGCTGGCCGACTGGAGCAGTTCCCCGCTGGTGGCTATGGCAGAGCCAGGCTTTGGAAACCCACGGCCGGTGCTGGATCGTGCCCCGCGACAGGCACGTGGGCAGGGTGGAGGGTGGGCAGCACAGGGAAACAAGAACTCATTAGTGACAGTGAATGCATGAACTTCCTCCCTTGGTTCCCTCCCGTGCGCAACCTGACTTACCCACCTGTAGGCTTTGGGAGACCCAAGAGGGATGGGTCCTGTCCGCCAGGAGCCTGCGGGCTGCATGGGCAGAGGCTCCAGGAGCTTGGCTAGGACCCTAAGCTAAAGAAAGCCCCGAGGTCCAGGAAGGGAGGCATCGGGTGAAAAAAAGGGGCTGGAAGAGGGAGTTGTAGGGGACAGATGACACCACGTCAAGGCTTTCCCTTCCCCCAACGAACCCCCTTGCCGCTGTAGCTGGTCACC